ACCTCAATTGCGTAAAATAATACAACCTTGTATAATAAGTAAGCAATAGGAATAAAACCGCCAAAGAATACAATATATGCAGCTAGCAATTGCATCACCTGAAAGAAAGATACCATCGAAAACGAAATGGTTAATATTGGCATTGGGTAATTTGTGCATGTATGTCGGGACGGGGGTGTGGCAGTCGAACGAAACATGGGCTATGGGCATTCGAATATGTTCAATGGCATTGTTTACTTACATTTAACAGTTCAAGAATCCCATTTGCAAAGCAGTTGATTTGGAAAGTCTGTTTTTCGGCCGATGATCACAAACCAAATTTAAACAATGCACATGTAACAAATTTATGACTCTTTGAGAATATCATACTTTGTCAACCCTAAAAGTGACAAAAACAGTTCGGATTCCTGGTCAAAGATGGAAAATCCACCGTCACCAGCATCATTGTTATTGTTTGCCTTTATTCCATCCATATGTCTGTCAATTGGGTTCTCATATTCCATTCTCATTCTATTTCTATTTAGAATTTTTAGTTTCCTGGTCCTAAATGGAAAGCGAAAAAGGAGAACGCGTGCTTAAGTGCAAAATGAAAGCGAAACGAGGTAATATCAAAGTATGTGTAAACTGTTATTCTTGTTGTTCAAGATTATGGTTTCTACCTCAATAGACATAGGATCTGAAATCTTGGTTACAAACGCAGCAATTAATCAGCCTGTAACAGCAAAAAGGGACGTCAATGACACGGAAAATATGCACATATTCAAATGAGGGGGGGGGGGGGGGGGGGAAACAACACGATATTCTTATTAAATGTAGTTAAAGTTTTCATCCACAACAAGATTAAGCATTTAATAAAAGCATGGCTATGGCCATTTACCTTCTCATTTTTCGGTTCAAAAATAGCTTTAACGGACTCATAAACCTCTTCAACAGGCCTTCCAGCATCAATCTGAAAGTGAAAAGAACAATGATTCCAACAAACATGCAAGATTATATTGTTAAAAAAAGTAAAACCAACTGAAGAATTACCTTCCGAACTTTCCCCTTGGAGTTGTAGTACTCTATCACAGGGAGACTAGAATCTTGGAAAACCTTAAACCGCTTCCTTATTGTTTCTATGTTATCATCCTCTCTTCCCTTCATTGGCCCAACAAAAGAAACACAAAACATCACCATAATTAGGTCGGAAACAAAAAAGAGATGAAATCATTATACCAAGACAATATACATATTCCCCTACAAGAAAAAAATCACATTTTTTACCTGGTTCCTACCCAAAAGCCGCCTCTCCATCTCTTCATCAGAACAGTCAAAAAACAAGACAAATGAAGGCTCGATTTTAGTCTGCAAAATCATTAACACGGGTTGCCATTGGCTTCAACAAGTAAATAAACCACTATGAAAACTAGTCAATCACCAAAAACTGTACTTAAGTCATGAGGAAAGGTTATCCAGAGGGCTCACCACAGCCTCAAATGCAGCACGATTTTCCTCATTACGGGGAAACCCATCAATGAGAAACTTGTCGTTACCATTTTCCAGCATTGCTCGTTCAAGAAGTTTAATTGTTACTTCAGAAGGAACAATCTTTCCTTCCTTAATCATGTTCGAAATCATGGTCCTGTCAACCATTAAAAAAAAAGTGTTGTTAAATGAGAAATGTAAAATAATTTTGATGGGCATACAAAGTCGAGAGTAAAGACTAACTTTGCAATCATTTTTCATTGAAAGCGACTTAAAACAAGACACAACAGAAGCAAGCATTCTCAACCGTATCATCAACCTTGCCCCTCAAGTAACGCTACACGACATCTTATGAAAGAGAAACTGTTGGGTGACTGAATCATGGTAACTGGAGATGACTTTTATCATACTCAAGAAGCAGAATGCTACCCTCATCATGTATCCCACTACTATAAAACGCCAAAAGTAGATTACATAACTATTGAAACTTTGGAAAGATAAATACCATGCAAGCAGATCAAAACTAAAAAGTAAACAATAAGATCACCCGGTGATGACACAGAACAGCACACAGGAAATCAACGCTTATGTGTGTGATTTTAAGACTTCAATCTGAATTACACTTGGAGTATCTTCTCAATCCCAAGACAAATACTTTTACAGAAAGAGTTGGTTTTCAGTCAATGCTTCAACCTAAAAGGATTGTAGTTTTGAAAATGAACATTGTACAGATTAAAAGAAAGATATGCCATACCCATTTTCAGAGCCAGATTTGATTTCGGCTCTAAGAAGATCGCCAGCACTGAGATGGGTAAACCCAAAGTGCTGAACAATGTTTGCACATTGAGTACCCTTTCCGCTGCCTGGGCCACCTATAAAATTAAAAGAAACAACTGATAAGAGCATCCATAGGTACCTCACAAGAAAGGAGACTGGCAGCTTTAGTGTAGCTACTGGAATTAAGGAAAAAACAAAAAACTAAACAGAAAATGTACAAATAAAATACAGCAATGACAACAAACGAGAGGAATGTAAACAAACCTAAGGATCATATCAATAATTAGTCTTCCCATGTCATGAGTAAACTGAAATGAAAACTTAGATAGCCTATCTATCATACTTAAACATCATCTCTTTGACATACAGGACTCTTAAATCATGCACATGTTTTCATTAAACTCTTAAGCAAAAAGAAAAGACGGATATTAAAATCATGAGCCAAGATTAGTGGTTCTTATCCCAGGTTGCTAACATCTCAGAAAAACAAGGATGATTAGAATACAACTAGTCCTAGTTCCATAATTTTCTTACCCAAGACAAAAACAACTGTAGGGTTCAGATCAGCTAAGCTTCCATTAGCCTCCTGCAGTAGGATGAATTTCTCAATTTAAACTTAAAGTAGTATGAAATGAAACAACAATTATTATAGGTGCATATATTGAAATCAGAAAAATAGAATAATGTCCTCTGGGAGTCTGGAGAAGACTAAAATAAAAGCATTTCATTTCTCAGTAAATTTAGCAATATCAACTTAAGTGACAAAGTTTCCAGAAGAAACCATGCATAATTTTAGAAACCTCAATAAAAATAAAAATAAAAATAACCCAAGATATACCTTCTTTCCGGCATCAACAACTTCACCCATGAGCACCAACTATTTGTCTCTGAATATCCTATCTGCGCAAACCAGAACACTGCAATTACAAAATTTTAGGTAGAGCAAAAAAACCCATGTTTATGCTTGAATGTGCAAAAATAGTTGATATGCTAATAAACTGTCTTGTACACATGGCACATATATGCATGCATTTATACGTATAAATATATTAATTTTCCACCACAGCGGTCTGAATGGCCAGTGCCTTGTGCATCACAATTGAACCATAAAACTCCCATTATAGTCCAAACTACCCTTCATAAAGTGACTTTTAACAAGTCTTTTAAAAGCAGGGGCCACATATATCAGAATCCAATTTTAGTCCCATTGTTGTAAAGTTTACTTCTTCAAAGTGAAATACGAAAATTCAACAAAAGCATAGATTTGATTAAAGTGATCAGAAAACTTCAAAAAAAAATGTAGAAAATATCTCAGAGATAGGACTTTTCCCATCAATAATTAGAAAATCATTCAATTATTCAAGGATCCAACATAGACAAACAGTGAGATTAATTCGGATGCAAAAAAGCAGGCACGCAAGGAGAAAAAAAAAATTATGTTTCAATTTAATGCTCAAGCTCCACCAATTCTCATTGCAAGTAAAATCAGCATATAAAAAAATTCAAAATTTTACTCTCAATCTTTCCCTCCCTTTTTCCTCCGAGATCAATTTGCCACCAATCAGAACTACGTCGAGATCTAACAAAAATTTACGCAATCAGAGACTAGAAAGGCCGAAATTCAACAAAACAAAAAACGAAATTCATCAAATCATGCAACGTGAATAGATGTCAAAGCATCATGGAGACTCAGATCGAGCACTAAACCGAGTAATGCGAGCTGAAAGCCACATAAACACAGTCAACGATGTCAAATGAATAAACAGAAAAGAAAAATCTCGAGACTTTCCACTCCCTTCCACGAAACCAAACCAAATAGACACGGATCAAAACCGCATCGATCAGATCCACGCAAAAAATTCACAGCCCGATCAAATGCGAGCTCAAAAATCACCAAAAACACAAAATCCAATCGATATTAAACAATCCGACGACGTTTACCAGTCAAATCAAGCATTAACAAACACGATGCGGAGCAAAAGAATTTGATTGCAGAAACGCAGATCAAAACCTAATTCCATTGCATCAAATGCTAATCGAAAGCGCGAATTGAGAGGAAGCCATACCTGTGTGCGAATTTTGGTACGAAGATCTGAGCTGCGCTGCGCTGCGTTCTGGGAGCTGTGGTGGCTCTGGTTTTTCTTAAATAGAGAAGAGAGAGGGAGGGGTGGGGGGCTTTGTTTTGAATGGGAGAAAGGCAAATGACCCTTTGCGCGTTTTCGTCGGTAAGGGTAAAATGGGAATTTCAGAGAGTGGGAAAAAATTTGCGTACGCTCAACGGCTAAAGCCTGCGATTTAAGCTGTGTAGTCAAATTTTAAAGAATTTTAAAAGTGATACATTTAGTGATGTGATATCCATGTATTTCTTTTTACTTCTCATATATTTTTAGAATTTTTAGTCATCAGATTAGATAAATTGAAGAAGATTAACACACAGAAATTAACAAATGATATGTGAGAAGTAAAAAAATATGTGTGGATAGCACACCCCTAGATTTAATAGGATTAAAGAGGATTAAAGACTCATACAAAATTCATATGAATTTTTAAAGAATTTGAATGGATTGTGACGGATTGTGATGGAAGGATTTGAAATCCATAGGTTAGGTTGAATTCTTTTTAGTCTTGATTATATATATTTTTGGCTTTTCTCATAAAATCCACAACTTATTAAATTTCTTTAAAATTTTAATTTTTTTAATACACTTATATTTGGATGAATTTTAAAACCCTCTAAAATCTCTTAATTGACTACGTTATAATTTTAAAATCCTCTCAGAGTTTGACTACACCCCTTAAACATTCTAACAGCCGAACTGAACGCCGAAACCTACACGGCGATAATGGAGGACTCGAAACCAGCCGGCAAGCTATCGACGTTTTTGGACTCCGGCGTGTACCGGTTCGAAGACTCGACCGCCGTTTTCATCGATCCGGTTCGCGTCCTCAACCGCTCCTACACCCGGTTCAGGGTGTCCCCTTCCGCCTACTACTCCCGCTCATTCAAATCCAAAATTCAAGAGCCTAGGGTTTGTTCGAATTCCAGAAAGCGGAAGCGGAAGGAGAAGAAGCCTCAGAATCTCAATGACAGAACGCGCCGCCGATCAACGCCACCAGGTAATCGCACTCTCACTGTCTCAATGCCTCTTTGGTTGATTAGAAAATGTTGTAAGGCTTATTGGTTACTGAGAAAATGTTGGAAAGAGTTTTGTGATTTGTGATTGAAATTCAGATGGAGACTCAGTGTTTGTATGGTTTGTTTGTTGCAGGAAGCAAGACCTTTTTTGCTGAAGGCGCATAAATCTCTACTTAGATCAACTGAGCTTTTAGAGGTTGTGAGCAATTTGAGGGATGATTTCGATAATTCAGCTTCGTCTCCCGGCACTACGCAGTCGCTGGTTGAACTCGGGCGGGTCTGGCAGGCGCCGCTGTATGAGATAACTTTAAATTCGCAATCACATGACAATGCAAGCGAAGATGGAGGTCGGTTTTGTTATTCGAAATTTTTTTCCTTTGATTCCTTTTTTTTTTGGATAAAAGTTGAAATGTCGCCTTTTTTTGTTTTATCAAGATTATTATTAGCTGCTTGTCAGCTGGTGCTTGATTGCTTGATAATTGAAATAAATTTTAATGTAATCGTAAATATTATTTAAAGTTTTGCTCGCCAAACCATTCCACTACATAAGAAAAAATTTGAGTTAGATATTGGAAATGCTCGGCTCATATGGATGCTCATCATCTGTCCTTTCTTCTGTTAGCTATCTCAACTCTTCAATTCGAGTTCTAATTGCTATAAAAAAAAAGTTATCCAATTGAGTTGTGAGTTTGTTCCAGTGGACTATATAAACATGATGATACTATCGTGTTGCGTGTGGTTTGCATATTTCTGGAATGTGAAATGTCTTTGTATTTTTTCAACAGAGAATTGTATCTACTAATCCCAGTGAACTGTACTCTGTTTTCTCAGGTTCCCCTGTCATGGAATACTGTAAACAACGAGCAGTTCCTGTGTTTAACAACTTAGTCGTTAATGAGACCAGTGAAGATGTGGAGGCTGAACTTTTGGGCAGTCGATATATCTTACCTCCAGAGAGTTCCTTCTACATGGTACACTGACATTAGTGACTTTTTTCTTTTAAACGCACAGATGAACTCCGTAAGGTAGTTTACAATGTTTCTTACATGTTTTGTTTTCTATCATGTGGAAGTCTGATCTGGGGCAGATTCACAATCTAATTCCTGGTAATTCATTCATTTCAAACCCGTATTATCTGCAAAACCTGTTTCTGAATGTGTAAAACAACTTAAGTTCTGTAGGAGTGAATTGCACAAACTAGATGCTTCATACTTAAAGTCTCTTGCTAGGTTTTTTTTTTTTTTTTTTTTTTTTTTTTGTATTGTTTTGTACTGTCAATTGGAAGAAATGTGATGTACACTTACTAGCATGATGATGTCTAGAGTTTGCCAATTTCATGAATTTTTGCAAGGCAAAGTATTCGTTTAGGTAGAATCATTTTGCAAGTTCACTCTATAGTTGTTATTGTAGCTTAAATTTTGTACTTTTTGTGCAACAGAGTCTGATTGTGGCTTCAATCTTATTGTTGTTGATCCACCATGGGAAAATGGAAGTGCGCGTCAAAAGCTGAGGTAGGCATTCTACCTTATTATGCTTTCTTGCCTAAAGAACCTGCAAGCCTTTTCTAATAACCTACCCAGGCATCTCCTGTATTTTGAACTTTTTAATGGAATTGAAAGCATACTCACCCTGTAAGAGTGTGCCGCTTACTGTTGTTAAAGAGTAACAAGTGACTTTAAAGGGATGTTAATCCAAGTGACTATTGTAAAATATGTCCTATTGTCTTAATTAACAGATCAACCGATCAACCATGGAAAAAACTCTTAATTTATGTTATTAATTTTGGTAGTTAAGTTTGTTGAAACATTTTGGAGTTGTAGATGAGTGACTGATGCAGATTTGACATGTAGCATGATCTAGCGTTAATATGGGCTACAAGCTGCTAGGAACTTGTCATTGTTTTCACTATGTGGTTGTCATGTTATTATAGGTACTCAACTTTGCCCAACCGATATTTCTTATCCCTTCCCATCAAGCAATTGTGTCACACAAATGGAGCACTTGTTGCTTTATGGGTGACCAACAGGGAGAAGTTGCGTGGCTTTGTCGAGAAGGAACTTTTTCCTGCATGGGGAGTCGAATATGCTGCTACTTTTTTCTGGTTGAAGGTTCTCAGTTTGGGCGTGTGTTTTTGTTTTCATAGTGAATAAACTTGGCTATAGTTTAGTGAATTCACTTTGACAAGGTCCGGTTCTATTGACTGTCGAAGGTCAAAGCAGATGGTTCTTTGATTGGCGATTTGGACCTCTTTCATCACAGGCCATATGAGTGCCTTCTATTAGGCCTTTGTCCAGGGGAGGTTAGTTTTCACCATATGCAACAGCCTGTTCTTTTGCTTATGCCTTATGGTTTAGATTGTAGCATTAGTAATCTTCTTCTGCGTGTGACGTTGATACTTTATAGGCTACGGACGACAATTCAAGATCCAAACCTATACCAGATAATCAAATCATGTTAAGCATACCAGGAGACTACTCAAGGAAGCCCCCGGTAGCAAGTAAGTTTAGTCTTGTAACCGACGCTATACTATAACCCTTTTATTAGTAGCATTTATGTACTCGCTACTTTCCCATTCACTGGAAACCATTAGATTTTGTTCTTGTTGACGCTGATCATTTTATCTTTCTTTAATTTTTTTGTGTGGAAGACCGATCACATGTTTGATACTCAGGCGTCCAGTTGTCAATTAGGCAATACAGTATTTACTGATATACGTTCTCTTGTACCTTTTATTAGGATTTTTACAGGAGTATTCTCCTACACTCCAACGTAATCGGTGTGTTGAACTATTCGCCAGAGAAATGACTGCCGGATGTGTTTCTTGGGGGAATGAACCCCTTCATTTTCAGGAGTCAGGAAATTTTACGAGGGGGTAGCTGCTTGTAATTTGCATCCCATACGCTAAACGACGTTGTGTTGTTTATCTTTGTACCGATTCTTTTATTATCTTTTGCTTTATTGGGAAATTGTATTCTTGTAGAAGTAAATGTTGGCGGGATCAGATTTGGATGAAGGGTGTGCTATCAACATGCCATTTTTTACTTCTCACGTCTTTATTAATTTATGTTCTTTGATTTTTTTCAATTTATTTGATCGGACGGTTAAAAATTAGAAGGGTATATGAGAAATAAAAAGGGGTGTGGATATCACACCACTTAGATGAAATGTACTCTTCTCAAACTAACGTGAAAGGAGAAGAGCAAGAGTTTTCCCCAAATGAGAACTTTTTGAAACAATCATTTGAAACTTCCACAAGCTTTTGCAGCGTTACATCAAATTAACAATTATGCAGATTCTTCACTTCCTTAACAACTAACTATTTTTTTTACTCACTAAATTTCAGATCCAATCCTTTTTCAAAATTCGAGATCTAAATAATTTTTCCATTGTGCTCGGTTCTATCAATCCCTACGAATATTTTAAAAGGTGAAGGTGAAATTCGGGAGAGATTGGAAGGAAACATAGCCTAAAAAGGGTTGATAATCTCTACTAATTAATAAAATCCTCTTTGTCAACCAAAAGAGGATGAAAAGACAAATTAGTCTTCTATTACACAAAAAATATGATGGGCAATAATGTAATTTCACAAGTCCAAATTTTACTTTTTTTTATTGAAGCCTCACCTACAGGTGATGTTAATATTAAAAATAATAAAAATAAATAAATCAAAACCAAAACAAAAACCTCCCACTCCCCCCACATTCTCTCTCCCCCTCTCTCCTTCTCATTTTATCTAAAAAAAATGTGTTCATACATACGAAGTGTGTAGACAAATGCTAGTTTGAATTAATTAAACCTTGGAAGAGATCCCAATGGGAAACGACTAGCTAATAAAAGAAGAAGTTGAAGAGATTTTCCCCTCCATAATTCCATCGTTCCTCTTCCAAACTCCAGTCCTCTTGTTTGCCTCAAAATTATCAATTCTAGCGTGTAGGGTTTTGTCATGTTAGGTGAGTTGTTTACATCATACATGCTAGACCTATAAAGAGGTCGGGTTTATTGGGTTTGAGTTGGGTTCAATCCGACCCATTAAGTTAACGGGTCATCCGAACCCGACCTGTTAAGCTAACGAGTTACCTGAATCCAACTCGTTAAGTTAACGGGTCACCTGTTAACACATGTTAACAATTATTATTATTATTATTATTATCATAGAGTTTATTTTGTTGTTGTTAAGACTTTACTGAAATTACTAAAATATCCTCAACTAACGGGTGCTAACGGGTTGACCCAAAGTGACTCGTTATTTAACGGGTTGTTGACATGTTCACCCGTTAACGACACGACCCGTTAATCATCCACCCAAATACTAATATTAACGGGTCTGGTCGGATCCAAAATGTCAGATCTAATACATACCATAAAAGGGTATTAAGTGGGTCGGCCCATGTGCGCTTAGGCCATAACTTGTTTGGGCATGGCCCAGCACATTGGACTTGATTTTTGGGCGTCACACGCCCATTTTTAACAAATTATACCATGCTATACCTTATTTAAATGTGTAACGCTCATGTCATGCTCCTACTTAGAGGCGGGTACGGGCCAGGCCGAGCTTAAATTTAGCAGAACTGGACCTACCTGTTGTAAATAGTAATGGGGCGGGTCAAGCCGGGTAATGGGATTTTAGAATTTGGAATCGAACCTAACCCGACTCGTTTGAAACGGGCCGGGTCCACGAGTCCAATATCTTTTTTCTTTGTCGGCCACAAATGATGACACAAATTAATTATAGGATAAATTACATAAAACTATCTTAACTATGAGTCGCACCACACTTTCATACTTCATGTTTTAAATATTTCAATGTCATACCTCAACTTATGAATTCGTCGCAATGTCATACCACCATTAATTATTTTGTTAAATTGGCTGTTAAGTGATGATTTGGCAAATTGAAGGCCCATATATTCGCTGACGTGGTAGTTCACTTATGCCATTAAGAAATTATATATTGTTGATGCACAAAATCAGTGGGAACTTTGGTACAACAGAAAGTGTTAAGTTTGTGACCTTCGCTAGATTGCTCCGGTCACTAGTGTGGATAAGTATGTAATTGGATAGAGACAGGGAAGCAAACACAAGATGTACGTGGTTCACCCAGATTGGCTACGTCCAGGGAGTAGAGGAGTTCTCATTAATTGTAAAGGGTTTACACAAGTACATAGGTTCAAGCTCTCATTTGGTGAGTATTAGTGAATGATTTAGTACAAATGACATTAGGAAATATTGTGAGAGAATGATCTCTATTTATAGAAGAGAGTTTCTAGTTTCATTCTGACATTGACACGTTTCGTGTTGTGATTGGCTTCTGATGTTGACACGTGTCACGCTATGATTGGCTTCTGATGTCGACACGTGTCGCGCTGTGATTGGCCTCCTGGTCGGAGGGAAACTCTTCTGGGTCCTCGACGGTATAACGTTGACCAGTGCTCAGCAGTTTCGGGATTGGTCAAGTATGGTACAAACAGTGCTCCCCTAAGTTCCCGAGTGAGGCAAGCTCCTCGGTTAGGGACTTGCAAGATCCAAGCCATTGAGTAATCACGAAACTTCTAAGTACCGAAGTGTGGTATCATTTTCACTTGCCTTATCTGTCTCATACGTAGATGTGGCATCTTCTCTGGAAGTACTTTTCCTCCATCCAGGGGTGGTATCTTTAACCGATAAAGATACACAAGGTAATGTATCAATTTCACTTGAAGCTTACATGTAGTTTCGAGCTTGGTCAAGTGTGATACAAAACCCTATAGTAGGAGTCCCCAAAGTTGCCGAGCTAGGAGATTTGCCGAAAGAGGTAACAGACAAGGTAAGCAATCAGACTTTCAAGCAAGCAACCTGGACCGGAGGTTCGACTTCGGCTTCCGGTTGATTGTTCTTCTTCTCCTTGTGTCGTAAATAGCAACAAGGATAAGGATAAGCAAATGGAGAAGAGATGATATGAGATATTTTTGCTTTTGAAGAAGTAACTTTCCACATGCTTATTCTTGAACTCGGCTGGAGGGTTTTCTGGTTTCCTCCAGAGTATAAGGCTGACTTAAGAATTTGAGGGTCAAAACAAGTCCATCAAATCAAGAGTGCATTTGACCTTGATGATATGAGATACTTTTGCTGTTGACGAAGTAGTAGATGAATCGGCACGTGTTCTGTTGCGCTTGTCTCCACATGCTTCCTTGTATCCTTCTCACTTGCCCTATTTGTTCCTCAGGCAGATGTGGTATCTTTTCTGGAAGCATAGGATGTTGAAGATGAGTACTCGAGAGCAATGTCAGGTAAGTAGTCAGGCAAGGGGTTCTAGGCAGTCAGTTCCTAACTGAAAGCTTGATTCCAAGTGCTGACTGATTTTTCTCTTTCTCCTTGTCTTGCAGGTAAGAACAAGGGCAAAGGAAAAGATAGGGAAAAAGCATGATATGGGATACTCTTGCTTTTGACCCTTATGATATGAGATACTCTTGCTCTGGTGTGGTTAGTTTGCATAGGTATTATTAGGGGGGAAGAAAGCTGAGTATTTTGAAAGGCTTCGTTGGGAGTGCCCTCTCAGATATGAGCAAGGGTTGAGCATTTTTGCAGTTCTGCCTATCCGTGGAGGATGGAGGTCGACATATATAGGAGTCTCCCTAACAACAAGTAGTAATGCTATTTCTTTACCCTTCTTGGTCGTAGCAATGTAATGGGAGGTACAAGCTTCACGTGTTTTAACTTTGTCAGAGCACTTTGAAAAAGTGGTATGCGGTATCTAGAAAGCTGATGTTGCGTGTGAAGATTGCAGACAAGCTTTATCCAAGGAAATCTGATTCTCGAAGTTCGGAAAGCGATGCCTTTTCGATTTTTGAACAAGCAATCCTGTCGGGGATCTGGCTTTCAAGATTCAGAGAACGGTGTCTCTTCGATTTTTGAGAAAGCAATCCTGTTTTGGAGTCTGGCTCTTGAGATTCGAAGAGCGGTGCCTCTTCGATTTTTTATAAAATAATCCTGTTGGGAGTCTGGCTCTCGAGATTCGGAGGGTGATGCCTCTTCGATTTTTGAGCAAGTAATAATGCTATTCATTTACCCTTCTTAGTCATAGCAATGTAGTGGGAGCTGCAAGCTTCACATGTTTTAACTTTGTAAGAGCGCTTTGAAAAAGTGGTCTGTGGTATCTGGAAAGCTGATGTTGCGTGTGAAGATTGCAGACAAGCTTTATCCAAGGAAATTTGGCTCTCGAAGTTCGAAGAGTTGTGCCTCTTCGGTTTTCGAACAAGCAATCCAGTCAGGGATCTAACTCTCGAGATTCAAAGAACGGTGCCTCTTCAATTTTTGAGCAAGCAATCTTGTTGTGAGTGTTTTCTCGAATGTGAGTAAAGGTTGGGCATTTTTGCCAGTCTGCCTTGCCACGGAGCACGGAGGTTGACACACATTGGAACTTTCTAGTTATCAAGCAGTGGTGTTGGTCCTTTACCCTTGTGGGTAATAGTAGGGTAGCTGGACCTTCAAAAGTTATGTGTTTAAACTTTGTCAGAGATCTTTGGCAAAGTTATATGTGGTACCCGAAGAGCTAATGTTGCGTGTGGAAAGTGGTGCCTCTTCAGAATCCGGAGAGTGGTGCCTCTTCGATTCTTGAACCAACGACCCTGTTGCCCTTTCTTTTATACGGACACCAATTGTGTGCAAGAAGTACATTCAGAGAGTTATTGCTTGTAGGAATTTTCCCCTTACTTCAGAGATTTATTGCACCTCATTTCTCCTTCATCATTTCTGAGAATGTTTAGCCCATCCGACCGTCGTTTTGACTTGAACTTTGGTGAAGAGGCATCTATGCCTTCTCAAGACAACATATGGCGCCCATCCTTCTTATCCCCTACTAGTCCTCTTACCGTTGGGGACTCTGTGATGAAGAATGATATGACAGCTGTGGTGGTGGCTAGGAACCTTTTCACTCCCAAAGATAACAGACTACTTTCCAAACGGTCTGATGAGTTGGCTGTTAAGGATTCTATGGCTCTCAATGTTCAGTGTGCAGGTTCTATGTCTAATATGGCCCAACGCCTATTTGCTCGAACCCGCCAAGTTGAATCATTGACGCCTGAAGTGATAAGTCTCAAACAGGAGATCAGAGGGCTCAAGCATGAGAATAAACAGTTGCACAGGCTCGCACATGACTATGCTACAAACATGAAGAGGAAGCTTGACTA